TATTGGTTGACTTGGTTCAGGAATATTAATAATTGATTCAGTTTTCGAATTATTAGAAAAATCATTTAATTCAAATGAAAAATTTGCTTCATCATCCGTATTTGTTTTATTTTCACTCATATCAAATGAATTTTGTTGATTTATTGTTGTTGATGGTTGTTCATCTTCAATCGTTGTAGTATTTTCCATAAGAAACGATGGTGGATTTGTTGTATTTATACTTTCAATAGTTGGCATTATTGGAATATCTTGTGATAATGGTAAATTATCAAATGTAGTTTTTGGTGCATAACTCATACGTACGGATGTTGTTGTTGAATTAATAATATCAGTTGGTGTAACAACAGTTAATGAAAGTGTATCATGATTTGTTTTAGGTGATTCACGAATAGTTGTTGTTGATGAACCAAGACCTAATAGATGTTCAAGTGCACGAAATGATTCATCAGATGGTGCAGTTGTTAAAGATTTTTTATCATCATTATCAAGATTTTCTTTATCTAAATCATTTAATTGTAAATCAATATTCATTGATGGTTCAATAATAAATGTTGATGATTTATGCATTAATGATGGTTGATTTAATGGAAGTTCATCATCTTCACTTATTGATGGACTTTCACTTGGTATTGGTGGTAATGTTGAATGTGTTAAAATTATTTGAGATTTTTCTTGAATTATTGAAGTATCATCTTCTTGTTGTACATGATGATCATCAACAATAGTTTGTTCTGTATACCAAACAGGTTGAAGACTGGCATTAATATCATTTATTATTGTTGTTGTTGTTGTTGTACTATCCATTGGTATTTCATCCGGTCCAAGAAGTTTAAGTGGTGTACGTGTCTAATAGAAAAAATTTTTTTTTTCTGTAATTCTATAAAATTCATTTGATTAATTACTTTCGGAAAACTTTCTTTTTGTTCGAGTAAGGCGGTTATTTTTTTTGTAGGTGTTGATGCCATACGATTTGCTGGCTCAATTGGCCCATGACTTAAATCACTAGAATATGAAAACAATTAATACAAAAAGAGAAAATGAAAAAATAAACTTCAACGAACCAAACATAAGGACTTGTAGATGATAAATGTTGTAGCATGATTTTATATAAATTAAATTATTTTTATCATAAAATTTAATCTTGAAAAAAAAAAGAAAAAGAAAACTTTTTATGACGATAAAGAAAAGAGAGGTGATTTCGTTGAACAAAAGTATAGAAAGAAAGAACGGTCATTCAACGAACGAACTAGGTCTTTGTCTAATATGAACGAACGGTCTTTGTTTGTTCCCGGAGAAATGAGTACCAATCAGATAAGTTATTGAATTTCTTTGTTTGAAATGATGTCGCTACAATCAATGTATTTTATACAAGCTTTGTTTTTATTAATGTGTTTCTGTTTTCAAAAGAAAAAAAATTTTTCTTTTATCTATTCAATTTTATTTCAAAAAATAATAGTTTAACTCATACTTCAAAATCAGCGCTTTTGTTTCTCAATTCATATCGTTCAAGTACTAATATCCATTTAAAAAGAAAGACGGGCGAATATTTTTTGAATAACTTTTGGTAGAGATCCGATAGAGCGCTATGATTCTCACCATTGGAAAGAGGAGACGAATTCACATTGAATTATAGATTATAGGTTTTCCTAAGATATTTTTGAAGTTTTTTTTAAACAATTTTCAAAAAAAGTGCCGGTAAAATAGGTTCTTAATGAAGAAGAAAAGAAAGAGGAAAAAAAATGTTTTTTTTTACGGTCATCGATTGAGAGTTTTGAATAAAATATTTATAACTCTTGAACGCATAAATGCAAAAAATCTCAGACTTTATATAATTTTGTAGATCTTTGAATGGACACCTGATAATTGAAAATCTGTAGTATACGATTAGATATATCATCATCACATCTTTCTAATAGAGAAAGCCGCAATTCTCTACGTTGTTTCTATCAAAAATTATTCAAAAAATACTCATCTACCTTTTTTTTGTTGAATGGACATTAGAGTCTACAAGCTCTAAGAATGTTATCTATATTTGTATTCGTACAGTTAAAGGTGAGAATTACATGATATATATATATATATATTGAAGGATTTTGCATTTTGTCTTTTTCGTACATAACTAATTGGTATTTGTTTGTTGTCACCTTTTGTATATACACATGACATTCTCTACATGAAAAAACATCATTTTGTGCTATATGGAACAACATGACCGAACGTTTTAGGTTTCATAAATGTGCTCACAATTTTTGTGCCAACTATATGTTTGAACATTGACAGATATTGAATATAAGAAGAATGCTTGCATTTGTTCGCTCATGAGACACATTGATGAATTAGAATAAAAATCAATTAGTAAGATTTGTCGAATAGTTAATGGGTCTTGCAATAAATTACGGCATGATAACAATAAACTCGCACTCAAAACAATGCATATTGTAAAGTCTCTCATTCGAAAACTGAACAATTTTTATACTATCAAATGTTATTCATGGAAGAAATTTTGATAACACATCATATATTTTTGTAAGCTTTTAATAATTGAAAAAAAGTCACAATGCATAGATTCTAAACATCTTATGGAGCAACACACGTGCCGAAAACGAATACTCATCCATTAGTGGAAGTAAGTTAATTCAGGGCATTATTCTCCTGTGGAATTATACTCAAAAGAACACCGATGATAAAATATATTTCATTTTCAACTAGTTCTTATGTATGTATAGAGCATAAGAGTGTTTCGCTAAAGGGTATCATACATCAAAATGAAATGAAAAGTAAAATATAAAAAACTTGAAGACGATTAGATTTACGAGTTTCATCAACAACAAAATCAACTTCTATACCTATATGTCGACATAAATACATCGTAGTTATACTATAAAGTCTTGCTTTTGACATTGTTTTATATGATTTTTTGGACAGAAGAACCTATTCTAAATAAATATTCACATTTACTTGCAAGATGACGAGTGTTGAATTTTATTGAAACCACTGAAGTGATTTATCATATGCTCTTCTTGCTGTTCATCTTTCTCCATTGAATGTAGGTTTTAATCTAGGAAAGACTTGAATGCAATATTAAAGAAAACGAAGTATTCTGAGTGGGAAAAGCAAATCTTTTGTCAAAAAATTAAATTAAATTTTTCTGACATGCTTAGATCGGTTTTTTTCAAATCTGAATTTCAACAAATTTTATTTTGCATACTTCAAATTTCATATAATACGCTTTATTTTTGGCATGTTTTTGAATTAAGCATTAAATAACAGGAGTAATGATCATGTTGGTTTTGCATTTAACGCTGTTAGTTATCCGAGAACACTATATTAACCATTGGAATCGTTCTTAAACAACTGAAAATGACATAGTTTTGTGACTTTCTCGATTTTAAGGTTTAATTCGTTCTGTAGAAAAATTTTTTAGCGAGACATTCTAAAAATTATCGTTGTCGTATAGGGATGGTTGTTACTGGATCGCCAAACTGCGGTATCTGCCACTGCTTTTCGGCTAGATAGTTAATTGATGGACATATTTGTCTACATATGAATAAACAAACATAACTTTTCTTATACTCAAAATTAACAACTTTTATAGCAGTGTCACTTCCTATCATACTGAAAATGTTCAAAGACTTTTTTGTTCTGCATATATATATCGACTTGAGAAAATGATGAAATATTGAATTTTCTTTTAAAAGATGCGCCGTCGAAAGCTCTACAAAACTTGTATAGACCAAATTCTATAACGAGTCGGAAAAGTTCTCGAAATATTTTCTATATGATGAGAAGTGACATTGCTATAGAAGTTGTTCATTTTGAGTATAAGAAAAACTATTAGAACAGGTAAACGGGATTCAATCATACAGCTTTTATAGAGCTTTTCACAGCGCATTTTTTGAAAAAAATTCAAGGTTTTATCATTTATCTAAGCCGAGATATGTGCAAAATAAAAAACTACTACAACCTGATGGACATCCAGTTTTGCAAAAGAAAATAAAAATCTCCTTTTTCTTTCCATACACTTTTTACTTTTTAAACTGCATTTGATGTTCAAAGTAAATATACCAAAAGATGCAGCAACTTCTGGGTTTTCTCTCTATATATAATAAGTTAATAGATAAAAACGTATAGTAATAAAAAAAAACAAAAAAAATCAAAGAGCACAATTTCAATTGTCCTCGACTGTATATCGAATACTACAAAAGACGGTAGCTACATTCGACCTAATCATTGTTGCTGCTGAAACTCATGTTCATTATCTCAAAAAACAAAGCAAAGTTCTCACTTTAAAATCATCATTTTGTGAAGCGAATTAAGAACGAACATGAAACTTTGTAACAACTTTTAAACGAAAATTGTACGACTTTCCAACGTTTAGATCATTACGACACAAATATAGCGATTTCGAGTTACATCGAGATAGTAAAACAATTTTGTGCACTTAGATTTTCGAATTATTATTTCAATGTAGGATTGAAAATATGTCACTGGATTCTTAAAAAATCAGTTCTATAATTCAATTTTGTGTTATTAAAATCATAATGAAAACATCAAGCAACAGAATCAAAATTCATGGGTTGTAATCAAATATCATACTGAGTTATTGTAAAAATTAATTAGACAATACTTATACATTACTTACATTCATTGTGTTAAAGATTCAAAATATATTGTTCAATTTAATAGCCAGTATAGAAAATTCCTAATTAAAACAGACATGTATTTTCAATTTTCATTCAAAAAGAAAAAGAATGACTAACAATTCCAATTATTTGATGTTAATATTTATTTATTCAAGATTTTGATTATCTTAATTTTATCATTACCGTCTACCAGCGACGCTCTACGTTTGACAATCGTGTTCGCACATTTTCTCCTTTTAGGTAAATTATAGTAGATATTAAAAGCTATTCCGTTATATCAGATTTTTTCCTTTGCACAAGTCTTACTTAAATTTGTCTATTAAAAATTAAACTTTTAGATTTTTTTCTAATTAAAAAATGGATGATAATGATGATCAATATCGTTGGGAATCAGGCTATGAAAGAACTTGGTAAATTAGATAGTTCAAAAAAAAAAGAAAATTGTTGAACAAAAATTATGAATTCAATTGTCTATTTCTTTTTTTTTAGGGAAGTTATTCAAGAAGATGAAAGTGGTTCAATTACAGCTACTGTTAATGCTATTAATCAGAAAAATCGACGTAAAGAATTAGCACAATTACCAAATGTTCGCCTTGGCATGGTTTGAAATTTTTATATTTCGCAAAAATCTAAGATTTTATTTGATTGTTTTGTTTTTACTCTAGATGCGTCATCTCTATTTAGTTCTCGATATGTCAGATGCAATGAAAGATCAAGATCTTCGACCTAATCGACTATTTTGTTCTATTGAAGTTTATAAAAAAAAAAAACTTTTTTCATTTTTTCTGTATTTTAATTTTAATTTTCTTTTTTTTTAGCTTTTAAAAGAATTTATATTTCTTTATTTTGATTCAAATCCAATATCTCAAATAGGTATAATAATAACACGAAAGAAACGTACAGAAAAAATAAGTGAATTAGCTGGTAATCCACGTTCACATGTTGCATTACTTGAACAATTAAAATATCAAGAATGCGAAGGTGAAGCATCAATACAAAATGCACTTGAAATGGGATTACAAACATTGAAGTATAAAAAAAAAAAATGAAAACATTTTCATGATAATATTTCTAATAAGTTCTTGTTCTTCTTAGACATATGCCAAAATATTCTAGTCGTGAAATGCTTTTTGTACTTGGATGTTTAACAACATGTGATCCTGGAAATATTTCACAAACAATTAAAGTATAGCTTGTTTTTTTTCATTTTTTATTGATTGAACCATTTATTTATTTAGATTTGTAAAGAAAATGAAATTCGTTGTTCAGTGATTAGTCTTTCAGCTGAAGTTCGAATTTTTCGAAAATTATGCGTTGATACTAAAGGTAAACATTTTTTTGTCCACAAACGCAATAATCTCTTTTTTGGTGAAACACGACCTAAAATAAGTGTTGAAGTATAGAGATAGAAATTTGGATCTCTTATAAACATAGGCTGTGGAGTCGCGAAACATGGGTAGGCTGAAGCCTAACCTAGATTCAGAAAGTTTCACCCCCTATACTAGCAGGCCGGACAGCAAGGTTGCCAGATCTTCTGAACTTTTTTAGATCGTAGCTTTGTTAGAATATAGATATGGGTGTGAGTCTTTCCGTCACTCACACCTACTCCTGATAAACCATATTTGAAAAAATAGAAAATATGAATAATACTATCCACTTGATATTGTATAATGTTTAGTTTTTTTTTTCTTTCATAGGATCTTCTAATCTACATAAGTATATATATATGGTTTGCTTTTGAATTTTTTTTGAACGAGTTTTGATTTTAGTGAAAGAGTTCGACACTACATATCTTCTTTTTGATTTTTTCATATTAAGTAAACACTAAATTCATTATATTGTCTTTCTTTATAGTGAAATACATTTCAAAATAAAGTATAAGTCAATGAACAGAAACCTAGCAGAGCACTTGGTGCTAGCATGTTAACATAATAGTTGTTAATTTGTAAAAGTCATCATTAACGTGCCAGATATCTTCGCAGATTATGCTAGATGTTGTTGATATACAATTAGAGACTGTATACCAATAACGTTTTGTTATAATATATGAACTATTTTCTTATTGGATTTCTGAAGAATTAAGTAAAACGATGATGAAGAAATATGTTCCAAAATAGATTGAATAAAACAATCTCCTTGTGATTAAGTACAGAAGTTATATCGTGTTTTACGTTTTAATCCTGCAAGGATTGTACTAACATCTTTTTCATTTAGGTTTATATCATGTCATTGTTGATTCAAGTCATTTTCAAGAATTATTACAAATTCATTCTCGACCATTACCAGCTTTAGATAAATTTGAATCATCACTTGTACGTATGGGCTTTCCAAAATATCGAACATATACAACATCAAATGCAAATATATCATCAACAACAACAAGTAGTACAAAACATGAAAAAGCTTCAATGTGTATGTGTCATTTGGAACAACGTGGTGGAACAAATGGTTTTTCTATAGGTGGTTATTTTTGTCCAACATGTGAGAGTAAATATTGTGAATTACCAACAGAATGTAGTATATGTCATTTAACACTTGTATCAGCACCACATTTAGCACGATCATATCATTTTTTATTTCCAATTGAACAATTTATTGAAATAACACTTGATAAATCAATAAGTAAAAAATGTTTTGCATGTCAACATATATTTGATGAACAAAAACATAAAAATATATATCAATGTACAAGTTGTAAAAATGTTTTTTGTTTCGAATGTGATCTTTTTATACATGGAACTATATTTACATGTCCGGGTTGTATACGTTATGGACAATTAAAATAAAAATAAAAGATATAAATTAAATTAAATAAAAAAAACCTTTTTTTTTGTTTTTTATTCTAGATGTTTTCTAGATCATTATTGAATTTATCTAAAGGAATTTTAGTACAAAGAACAATGTCTATTGAATCACCATTTAAATCAAATATTTTGGATAATCAAGTAGCTCTTGTAACAGGTGGTTCAAGTGGAATAGGATTAGAAATATGTCGACAATTAGGAAAACATGGTTGTAGTGTTGCTATGATGGGACGACGAGCAGAAATTCTTACATTAGCAGAAAAAATGTTAACTGATGAAGGAATTCGAGCATTAAGTGTTCAAGGTGATGTTCGAAAACCAGAGGATTGTATACGAGCTATAAAATCGACTGTTGAAAAATTTGGTGGATTAAATTGTTTAATTAATGGTGCAGCTGGAAAGTGAGCTTAATTTAAACAAAAAAAAAAAGATTTCGTTAAAAAAAAAAGGATTTTCTAATTAGTTTTCTATGTGCAGCAGAAAATCTTTCACCAAATGGTTTTAAAACTGTTCTTGATATTGATACACAAGGCACATTTAATATGTGTCGTTCAGCATTTTCAGAAGTAGATTATTCTTTATTGATCAATATTTTTTCTATTCATCTATTTGTTTTTATAGCTTCGAAAAAGTTCAAATGCTAATATTATAAATATAACTGCAACATTTCATTATGCTGCTATGTGGTATCAATTACATGTTTGTACAGCAAAAGCAGCTATTGATGCTCTTACTCGATCATTAGCTCTTGAATGGGGTGAATATGGTATTCGTGTTAATGGTATTGCACCAGGTCCTATTGCAGATACAGCTGGTTTTTCGAAATTAGGTGGATCTTTAATGGATACTGATAGTTCGAATAATCCATTACTTGAAACTATCCCTTTAAAACGAATCGGTACTAAATGGGATATTGCTATGTCAGTTCTTTATCTTTGTTCATCAGCTGGACAAAATATAACAGGTACTATATTAGTTAATGATGGTGGTAATTGGCTTCATAAACCACAAATACTTGATCGTGAAACTGTTCAAAGTTTTTCACGTTCAATAGAAAAGAAAAGTCGTCAAGAAGGTATTGCAACAAAGTCCAAATTATAATTTATTTGTACTTAAATTGGCTTTCTGTGTTTTTTTATTCTTTTTAATAAGCAAACAAAAAAATAATAATAAAGAGAAATACGACGTTTAACACACCATCACCAGATATATTCGAATGAAAAAAAAAAAAAAAAGAAAAAGAGAAAAAAAAAACGGAATGAAGAAAAAGAAGACGAAGAAGAAGAGGAAGATTTCTATGCGTATAATGACGACTAGTTAAACAACACAAACAAGAGATACAAAAAAAGAAGAAGAAGAAGAAAATGCTTGTCGTCTTATTTAAAAAAAAAACAATTCAGAAAATTTTAAACATTCGGCACAGAAGAATGAAAATATGGTTGAGAATCTTTGACAAGTAAGGTATAACACACATCACATACACGAGAGGGGCGATTATTTGGACCAGTATAAACGGTTTTATTAGTACAATCTTTACATAGGACTTTACCTATAAAAAACAAGATTATTATAATTAAATTATTTAACGTTAACTTACCACAATGACCTAAACAAAAAAAAACAAAAATAAAGTTTTTAGGTTTTTTTTTCAATAAAACAAAATACAAATACTTACGACAATGATGTTTGCGCCAAGTAACAGAAAATGGTGAATGACAACGTTGACATTCTGCATGATCTTCTTCAGGTTGCCAACGTAATTCATTTTCTGAATTTCGAATTTCTTCTAATTGTACCTTTGGAAAAGAAAGAAGTAAAAAAAAACAAATAATAAAAGTTGGATAATAAAATATTTAATAAAAAAAAAAGGTAACTTATCGTTAACTTACTAACATACTTGAAGCGATTGAGAAAGTTTAACAAAATCATGTTGAACTAATTCACTATTTTCTAAATCAATTTTTAATTTTTGAATTTGCGCACGTAATCCAGCATTGTCTTCGTCAACTTGAGCCTAACAAAGAAAAAAAATTATTAATTCTACCTGCAATTCTAATTCTATAAATAAATATTTCTTATTTATGTTTTTACCTTTGCTTTAGTAATTTGTTCAAGTTTTTCTTTAAGTTGATTTGTAAAGGAATTAGCTACAATTTTTGTTGTTTTTAATTCATTAACACGTTCATCTAATTGTTTTTCAAGGTTATTCTTTAAAGTCATAACACGTTCATATTCTGTTTGTAGACTTTGTAAAACAACTATTGAATAAAAAAACAAGTTTTCAAAACGAAAACAATAAAAAATTCTTTTTTTTTCTTACTAATTTCATCTTTTGCTGTATTTAAATCTCTATTAAGTAAATTTTCAATTTGTTCTCTTTCACGTAGATCAGCTTTATGATTATGTTGTAATTGTTGAATATCATTTTTTAATTTTTCTTTCATTTTTAATTGTTGAATTATTTGTTCACGTAATTTAATAATTAAACCCCATGCTTCCTTAAAAAGAAAATGTTTTATTTTTTTTTTAAATTTTGACAATTAAAATAAATTACTTCAAATGTTGTTGGTGATTGTGATGAATAAGTTAATAATTTAACTGTTTCATCATCATTTGTTACTGTAACAAGTGATGCATTTTCAACTTCTAATCGTTGAATATATAAATGTAATAATTCACGTTCTTTAACAAGTTTTTTTATATTATTAACTTGTTCAGCAAATAAATTATCATAATGTAATTTCATATCACGTAAATCTGTGTCATTTTTTTCAATTTTTTTTGTTAAAGTTGGTAACTAAAAAAAAAAAATAATTTTTTTTTTGCTTTTCAAAAATCAAATTTTAATGAGCAAAAATGATCAAATAGAAGCAGCTATATCACTCTAATTCTCACCCTCAATATTTGTTAACGTCTAGAATGATTATGAAAATCTTTAAGGACATTTTTCTGATTTTCTTTTTTTGCTTTCTAAATAATTTTTTTTTTTTTTTGTTTAATATTTACTTGATCAAAAATTGTATTTGTTTCTGTTAATTGTTTTTCAACTTGTAAACGTATTTGATGTTCTTTTTCATATTCAGCTTTAGCTAATGATAAATCAAATAATAATTTAACATTCTCATCTTGTTTTTGTGTATTTAATATACGTAATTTATTGTTTTCTTCACGTTGTTGTGAACATTTATCACAAAATTTCTGAGATAAATCCATTATGTGAGTTATCTAAATTATAAAAAAGAAAATTAACGTTAAAATCGTTTAGATTCTGTATGTTTTTACTTTTCATCCATAATTATTGCTCATCCTTTTTTTTTTTCTCTTATGGGATATCTTTACGTTCTGTACTATAGAGGAAAGAAAAATAAGATTGGAGTAAGGATGAAGGCACTCGAACTATCATCATGGCAAATAAGGACGAACATCTTTTTATTCTTTCATTGGTGTAGAACAAACCTGTGTAAGCAACTCGTCCCAATCAGTGTCAGTTTTATGATAACGTGCTGTATTTAATTTAGTATCATCGTCATCATTAATAGTTTTTGAATCTTTTGAAGATTGTGAATCATCAACTATTGATGACTTCATAACTGAACTTTGTGTTTGTGATGAATCATTTGAATTTTCTTTTGATCCAAAAATTTCTGAATATAAAAAAAAAATAAAACATAAAATAAATAATATAAAATATAAAAATTGTATTGTATCAATTTCATTTTCTGGAAGAACAATATGTAGGAAATATAATAGGTTAATAAAATTTCATGATCAAATTTCGCTTGAAATACAAAAAATAATTTGAAAAAATGATAAGAAATAAAAATTAATTAAATAGAACAAAAGAAAACAAACATTTTACCATTTAAAACTTTGTGTTGATCTGATGTTAACACAGTTAATAATCGACGCATTTGATTTAATTGTTTTTTTTCAAATGCAATAAAACGATCATGTGTACGAGCATAGATTTGTACATATTTATCTCGTTCATTTTTTGCATGTTGTTCAGTTATTTGACCTATGGAAATATTTAGAAATAAAATATGAAAAAAAAAACAACAACAACAACAATTCTGTATTACTTTCATTTAATTTTACTGTTAATTCTTGTACTTGATTTTTTAATTTTTCACATTGCGTATTAAGACGAATAACTGTTAATTCATAAGAAGTGCTGGATGATGATGTATTAACAAATGGATTAGTTTCAGTTGTTGATTGATTGTTGACTTCATTAGTAGTATCGTTCTATACAAAATATATTGAACGAAATAATTAATAACATGAAGAAAAAATATAGAAAAATAAGTCAAGGATGTATCGAGTATCAACCAGTTAAAATAAAAAAAGATAACCGATAACAAATGACCCACAATGCCTTTTTATTTTCTCTTCTGTAAAAATGTCCATGTAATCAAAACATCATATTACTTTTTTTTGTCGCTATTTATCAGTTTTATTTCATGGTCGTAAACAGGTGCTTATCTTTCTCATTGTTTCAATTCGAGTATTAAAATACTAAGAATATATAATCTATCTGTCTATATCATTCGCTTCTTCTTTTTTTTTTTGTAAAAATTAAATATTACACAAAAGAAATAAAAACTCATGACTGGTCGTCGTTCGAATCAAAGTGTTCAACAATTTCATTGGCATCTATGGTTATTATTTGCTATTGAAAATTGGATACTTGATTTTGGTCGTCCAATAGCTATGTTAATATTTCCTCTTGAATGGTTTCCATTAAATTTACCAAGTGTTGGAGATTATTTTCATATGATATATAATATTGTAACACCATTTATATTACAAAGTTTAATATTAAAAAGTCCAAGAAAATTTAATCAAAGTTTATTTACAGTATTAATGACTGTATTTGTTATGGGTGCAAGTATACATTTAGTTGGTGATTCAATAAATCATCGTTTAGTACTTAATGGTTATCAATTACATTTAAGTGTAAGAGAAAATCCAATTATGCAAAAACTTGATCCACCAAGTTTAATTGATTCATTTGAATTACTTTATTTTTATGATGAAGAATTAGGTCATTATATGTGGTCTGTATGAGGAAAAAAAATATTTTTCAATAATTTTTATTTATTAATTCGTTTTTCTTGTTTTTATTTCTAGGTATTTACCATATTTTCTTTGTTTTCTACTTTTTTTTAATAGTACATTTGTTCCAGCACAATCTAAAACGGCTGATGCAAAAGCATTTTGGCCATTAGCATTATTAAATTCAACATATTATTGGTATTTAGTCACAGAAGGACAAATAACACCATTGTTTATTGTAACAACATGTCTTATGACAATTCTGTGGCTTTATCAACGAATTATCAATGGAAATAGTTTGGATATTAATGGGCGATTTCTTTTGTATACATTTCATATGACAATTATATTAGTTGCTGTTTGGACAAGTTTCTTTTGGAATGATGAAATATTAAGAGCAAAATATGCATCAAGTTTAATTTATGTACCAGAACCATGGTCGGTTTATTCATTATATGGAAAAAGATTTTTTTAAAGAGACGACAAAAACAAAAGAAATTTTTTATTCATTTATTTCATGGGAATTTTAAATTTTAGAATAAATAAACAGTAGAAAAAAAAAATTAAAGTACTTACTGAAACTTGATCATAATCTTGTTCATTTGATGAAAATAATATTTTCACTTCACGAGGCTAAAAATACATAAAACTATTTAGATTTCTTAAGTTTTAAGATTGTATATAAACGATTATTTATTTCACTTGGTAATAATACAAAATTTTTACCTATTAAAAGAAGTAGGGAATACGTGTATCCCCTGCTAGATCCCAAAGCTCACTGATAGATAGAGGTCGTTAGAAGATTACTAATTGGGATGAGATAGACTTTGAAATTTCGTCTCTTGCCTATGTAATTACCTTAAAACATTACAATGGTTTTGAATGAATGATCTTTAAAAAAAAATGACTTATATTAAGCCTTATTCATGAAAACATAATACAATCATTAATAACTCCTTTGTTAATAAACTAATTATGAATAGCTTAATTATTATACATAAGAAAATATCGAATTTACTTGAATGTTTTTATAATGTCCTATAGCAGTGTCTAATGAGAGAATCACTCGCACGGAAACCTTCCGCTTGAGGTTATATTGTGTCTACAAGGATGCCTTGATGAGACTACTAAAAGTCGAACAGAGCTCGTCCCTATGGATCTTTGAAGCAGAGTTATGATCATTTTGCCGAATTCTTGATGCATACCAAAAAATAAAAGAAAACAGAATTTCTACGATCCTGAAAGTTTCAGTCGAAAAGGATATTCTTTTGTCGAGATATCGAAATTCCAAAAACAAAAAATAATTGCTTGCCACACATATCAGTGAAATCGAGTTTACTTAGAAATTCAATATCTCAACAACAAAAAAACTAACACTTTTTTCGGTTGAAACTTTCAGGATATTCTACAGATCATTTGATCTATGTATTCGTAAAATTTTCACATTGAAAATTCAGTTTAACGATCATAACTCGGCTTCAAAGGCCCATGAGAACGAATGCTTTGAGACTTTTTCTGGTCTTACCGGCACCTTTTCGTGAGATCAAGATGAGTTCAAACGAGTGACTCCCTCGTCAATAGTCATAAAAAAAGGCAATTCATTTCTTGTACAGTACAAGAAATAATATTTCTTTCTTATTCGTAATCATTATTGACTAAAGCTTCATATCTAGAGTTCGTCGGATGCAAAATTTCGAGACTCGAACGAACCATACTTTGATATTCTTAATGAAATTTTCTAATCGAAACTGGATGATCGTCTCAAAGATACGAAATACTTTTTTCTGGTTTGTTTTTGTGTTCAGTAATAATCATATGAGATTTAAATACAATTATCAAACGAAATATAATCAATATCGCTATTTGTATTCATCGTAATTTTAGAAATAAAATTTATTCCAGATTTTCCTTTTCTTTTTTTTAAACTTACTAATTCTTCAAGTTCTGCAATTTTGTCTTTTGCTTGTTTTAATAAAGTTTTAAGTTGAGTAATTTCGGCTTCAAGTGGAATAATAACTGATTTAAGCATTAATGTACTTTCTTGTGCTTTTCTCATATCTTCTTCAAGATTTTCATTTTCTTGTGCTATTGTTGGTTGATTTAATGTTAATTTATCACGTAATGATCGTGATATTGTTGTTAATACACTATCTCTATTCACACAATATGAACACATAAAATAAGACAAAATTTAAAAACAAAAAAACTTTACTTTTCATCAGCAACTTTTGATCTTAATTCATGATTTTCTTGTTGTAATATTTCAAGTTTACGTCTTAATATATTTAATTCAGTTTCATATTTTCCTCGTATATCATCAACACGATCACGAACTGTTTCTAAAATAAACAAAACAAGAAACTTTTGTTTTTTGTTTGTCTTCAAATATTTATTTTAAATAACCTTCCATTAATATATTAATTGTTGCAAGTTCTTGTTGATGTCTTTGTTTTAAATCAGCTATTTCAGCTATTTTAGTTGAATCAGCAAAGTCTATAACAGCTGTTAAATTATTTAATTGAGTTTGTAATGATTGTAATTCATTCATATATTGATGATTCTCATTCTGTAACTTAGATATATAATCTTTGATTTGATCAGGTAATTGAGATAAATCTTTTTCAATAAAAAAAATAAAATAAAATTTATATATGAATATTTTAGAAAAAAAAAATGAAACTTAGATGTATTTTTATTTTATTACCCATTATTTCCGTCATTGCTGTAGTATATTTTTATTACAGAACAAAAATAACTAACTGACCCGATTCGATCGATTTATTATTTTTTTTGGTATGATTGATTTCTTAACCAATTAGATGTATAAGAAGAATAAAAAAAAAAAGATGTCACTATAAACTAATTTGTTTCGTCTTTAAATAATTTTTGTTTTTTTTAAATGTTCTTTCATTTTTTGTTCTTCATCAAGTAAATGTTGAAAATAATTTTCTTGAAAATTAGCTATTTGTGTATGTTTAAATTGTCGAAGATCAGCTACTTTTTGTATCATTATTAAACGACGTTGTTGTTCAAGACGTTCTTGTTCTTGTCGTTTTTTTTCATGATGTTCATAACGTAGAATATTTAATGCTTCACTAATCGATGAAGAAATTTTTATTTTTTATTTATTTTTGCTATATTTTTATTTTACCGAGCATCACGTAATGCAGTTAATTTTTCTTGAAGTGTTTCAAAATGTTGACGTTGATGATCTAGATCATGTGTTAACTTTTCAAGATCAGTTGCACATGTTTGAAGTGATATAAATGCAGAAAGTAATGCAGTGTCTCCTATGACGTCACGATTACGTTGATCTATAAATATTCAATGATTATAAAATAAGTCTACTTGACAAAAAGAGATTGCCGATCTTGAGAAGATTAAATAAACAAGAAACAAAATTTTTTATATATGAAAGTTCAAATTTCAAATGAATTGATGACGCAAAAAGTAAAACGCAGTCTAATGAATATAAAAATATTATGAGACTGTTTTTCATGATAGATCATATTTAAGAATAGTCTCATCATATTCCTATGAGACATGATTATTAAATGAATGTTGAATTTTTTAATAACAAAGACAAACTCTATTTCTCTCATCTTGTACTGACTTTAAGACGAAAGAAGACTGAATAAAATTACGATGTCATTGTATAATTAAAATCAATAAGAGAATTAAACTGATGCTTATGTCACAATTCAAGAGGGGTGAGTGTAACCTTACTAACTCGGCAATAGTGACAGGTGACGATCTACGATTTTGAGCAATTGAAAAAGGAAAATGCTGGACTTCTTTTTATCTGATGCTCTATAAGACAAAATTATTTTAAAGCTCATCATCCTAGCAAAACACTGTAAAAAAATGCATGAAAACAGTGTTCCATTTCAAGAAAATCTATATAATTTGACTAACTAGATACCCAATTTTGTGTGTCCAATAGTGAGATTTGAGATGATAATTACCCGAATCATGCCTGGAACTATAGAGGTGAAATCTCTCTATTTGAAGAACATGTCAAAATCAAAATTACATCGAAATAGAACACCATTTTCATGCATTTTTTTTTTGATTGCTTTGCCAGTAAATAATTTTGTTCTATATAGTATCGGATAAAAAGACATTCAACATTCTCCTCTTTGAATTACTGAAAATCGTAAGTCACTAACTGTTGCCAAATTATTGAGACTACATCCATCCTTCTTTAATTCTGGTACGAACATTAGTATAACATAAAAATAAGAAAGTTAAAAAAAAAAACAAAAGTTAAACTGATTGAAAATTTATATTACAATTAATAACAAATCGAATTCTGCAAAAATCTTTATTTTGCATTTTCTCTTGTATTTCCTATCATGAATATAACACATATTAACAATATATACACGGTTGGAAAAAATATTATTCCAGGGGGGTAACGCTATAATTTCAAATAGAAGACATAATAAATTTTATATCAAATGAAAGCTCGTTAAAAATGGGGTTTATTGGTATTAAATAGTGAGGGTTATGAAAACCTTTTAATGTCGAACTTAATAAATTTTCAGAAATTTTATACTTTTTTTGGGATGGAAAATTAAAGTACTAGTAATTCAAGAATGGAGTAAAATATTTTTCTTGAATATTTTTACTCGATTCGATAGAGCTCGTCGAGCTCTATATAACTGTATACATTAAAAAAATTTTAAGACACTTTTTGCGATAAAAAATTCAAAAAACTATTTGGAAAATCTTGGAAAACATGAAAAAAATTCATATTTTTCATGTGAAAGAACAACACTTACTTTTTCAATAAAAGTAGCTTTTTTCGTTGTTTTTACTCCGTCAGGCGTTTCGAAACATACTCATTAGACGCAGCTTTTCACACTGCATCGAACGAGTATATTTCGAGACGTCTGAGGTAGTAAAAACAACGAAAAAAGCTACTTTTATTGAAAAATTGAGCGTGTTTCTTCAATTTGAAAAAAAAAAGAGTTTTTAAATGTTTTTGAGGTTTCCCGAGTAGTTTTTTGAATTTTTTATCTCAAAAAGATGCCTCAAAAAATTTTTAACATGCACAGTTTTGTAGAGCTCAACGAGGTCTATCAAACCATGTAAAAATATTCAACAAAAAAAAATTGACTTCATTTTTGAATCAGTGGCATCTTGATTTTCCACCCCAAAAAAATATAAAATTTCTGAAAACTTCTTAAGTTTGACATTAGAAAGTTTTTACAAGCCTCACTATTTAGTATCAATAAACCCCATTTTTGACGAGCTTTCATTTGATATGAAATTCATTATGTCTTCTATTTGAAATTATAGCGTTATCCCCCTGGAATAATATTTTTTCCAACCGTGTAGTAAGCAAAGTTCGAAAGAGATATTGCTAAAGTGCTCCTATTTTCTGTAGAATTAGTTTTAATGATAATAGTTATGCTAGATATTAGCCTTAGATAAATTTATTTATCATTCTTCATAAATATTAAAGTTCAAGATCGATATCACTTAAACTTCTTGTTAATAAATTAGCTTCGTATTAAAGTAATTTGACCTCAAATATTTTATATATTTTCTTTTGACATTTGTTTTTTTTATATTACTTGAAAGCTCGAAGAAAAAAACAAGGTAAAGTCTATACAATTAAAAAATCCAGAATAATATGCTAATTATAAAATAGCGATGCTATTAATTCAATATAAATATTTTAACATGCTTTTAAAGTTGAAAAAAAAGAAAAGATCTTATTTAGTAACACAAAGTATAATTTTACATCAATATAAAATACTACTTGATGTTAACAGTTGAAGTGTAGTTCCGTCAACAAGAATCATCTAAGGGTATAATCATCAGACGAAATAATTGTAAAAATTAGTCTGCCAATATTAGATCAGTTACTTTATTGTACTCATTATTATATGAATATAAGTGGAGTTCCTTGACGGATTTTCACTGTGAATTTCCTCTTGAATACTAATGTGAATATGACCGAATAAATGAACAAAATAGGATGAAGTTTATATATATAAATATATCGATCATATACAATCAATTGAACAAGTGATTTAGTTATGTTTGATTTTAATTTTCTGCTAGATTAATATGATATTATGTCAAACAATTTTGACTTACAATTGCTTTTTGCTCTATTCATAAATCTTTCAATTGCTTCTGTAATTGTCTCTAATAAATTTTCATGATTATCATTGGCATTTTTATTTTCTATTGGATTTATTTTTTCAACTTGAATATTATTTTTTTCATTAAATTTTCTTTTTTGTTTTAATTTTTCATCAGTTTCATTTTGTGATAATGATAGAGCTAAAGCTAATTGATAATCATCATTAATATTATTTTCTTGTTTTTTTATTTTTGAATTTTCTAATGTTCGTGAAAGTAATATTTTTATACATATCGAACATATTCGTTTTATATTTGTATGATTTATTTTTGGAATTAAATCAATTAAAAGTTTATAATCATCAGATATCTCTAATTCTAACCAACATTGATTACAATATTTTATTGAACAATATGAACATTTTTTAAATGTTTCTAAAAATTTTGTTCGAATATGACAACGTGAACAAATATTATCTTGATTATCTATTACCATATTATGCAAATAATAAATAAAATAAAATAATGAAACATATTTATATTATGTTGACAAGGAGATTCTTAAATAATTTCGAATGAACTATTTTGTTATAAGATAGAAAGAGGGAGAGAGAGAGAAAAAGACTTAGAGAGAAGAGCACAAACAAAATTTTGTTGAATGTATGTGAGTGTATAACGAAAAGAACGAGAGAGCTGGGCAAATAAACACACGCGAACGAAGAAATGAAGAAAAAAAAAAAGTTCAGGTAGACAAATATACATAATGATTCGATAGACGTATACGTTGCATGCATATTTTAATCATTGAACTCTCTCTTGCCCGTTGACAAGTAACAAGTACAAAATTTTATTCGGTAAGAGTACAACTAACGTAATATATCATTAAATGTCGACATAATATTCTCTCTCTATATATATTTTCGATTAGTTTTTCTTGTCAAGGCTATGTCAGTCTTTTGAATGTTGACAGAATGACATTGAAAACTATGGAGAAAAAACAAACATAGTATCTGGACTTTTATGATTACAATGGAGACTTAATCCTTTTCTGCTCGGAATGGATGTTTGATTATTGGCAATGTAAGTTGAGGTCACTTATTCTTACAATGATGTCTGGACATGATGAAAAAAATTATATTTCTTTTTTTTTTCTCTTTTGTCTGTCGCGTCGTTTGACCTAACAACAGAAGTAATAACGATCTTTTTTTTATTCTTGTCATTCAAATATATAAAAACGTCTAGTTTTGTTATAATACAAATGGTCAGTTAGACGCTTAGAGATGCAACGAACTTTTATTGTACGGGTTTTTTCTTTTTTGTTTTTTTTGCATAGACAAATGTGTGTTGATCCATGAGATAAGGAAATAGAGCATGATGAATAGAAGGAAAGAAAAAAAAAGGAAGGCAATTGTCTTCGTTTGTTGAACAGACAAATAGGGTGTAGTCTATATGGGCGGTATATATCAGTTAAAATACACGGATAGTTAAACATAACGTTAAAACAAATTGATCATGCTAAGAAAAAGATCCAGTTACATTCATCATCTTCTTCTTTTTATTTCTGATGATCATTTTTCAGATAATACAGAAAAAGATTATATATTTATTAAGGGCAGATGTATTCATATATCATATAAAGAAAAACCTAAATGCGTAGGTCAAATTTTTTTTTTTTTTTCTCCATAAAATGCGTCAATGAGATTTTATTTATTATGTTAAACGAGCTAGACAAAAAACAGAAAAGAAGAAAAATAAAATATGTTGAACAAAATCATTGAGTATATCATATTTATTTTTTGGTCATTTATTATGTTAATAATAGTTTTGTCTGCTGTCGAAAATCATTATATCTTGTTTCCAGTAGGACAATTTTCTTTTCCTGAATAATCAGCATGACAAAAAAAAAAATCAATTGTGTTTTCTATCTCACTTCTTCATTTCCTTTCTGTTTTTCATTCTTCTAACTATATAATTGTAAAGACAGACGATAGACTTTTTTTCTTGGTTAATCAATGAACATGATTTGTTCGTTTGTTTCCTTGTGTGTGTATGTGTAAAAAGGAATTGAGAGTTTAAATGTTTCATTTAAAATTTATTATACATTCTCTAAATTAATTATACGAATATGAATTGAAGAGAAAAAGAATTGAATTAGATAAGGAAAATATTTCTATTTCATTTCTTTTTTTTACATTTTATTCTTTTAGGCGATGTTGTGGCCTTTGAACATTCTTGATATAATTACTTAATATTAGAAAATTAAAATGAATATATCAATTTTTAAATTTATCAATAAATTGGCTTTAGTTATTCTATGTATTATTGGTATCATAGAATTAACATTAGCTTTCTGGACAGTACTAGATCATCGTTATAAAGTTTTAGCATACAATCTTGCTGATGTCGGTTTTATTGTAAGTTTCTTTTTAGATAGATAAAACAAAATTAAAATTATTATTTTATTAATTTTTATTGAATAGGATTTATGGATATTACGATATTTATCAATGTGTTTATTTGCTTCATCAATTATAATATTAGTCATGTGTCTTATTTTAACATGGGGCTTATATTCAACACATGTATTTATATTTATTTCATCGACAATGATTACTTTAGTTATTATTGCAGAATTTATAATATCAATAATAACATTTACAAGTAAATTTCAAACGATATTAACACTTCAAGAACAATTACCAAAATTAGGTAAATTGACTTGATATAAATTAATATTGAATTTAATTTTCTTTATTTTTGTATTATTATTATTATTATTCTTATAGTAATTACTTATCGACAAGGTAATGATGAACGTGCTAGTCGAGGTTTAGATATTCTTCAATCAACATTTCATTGTTGTGGATCTGATGGACGTTTATCATATCAAAATAATGTTCCACAAAGTTGTAATAAATATAGTACTGGATGCGTTATCCGTACAATGTTTTTTCTCGATTCTTGTATGGGTGTATTAGCTTCTATATTATTATTATTCAGTTTAATTAAATTACTTATTGTTATTTATTTTTATTCATTTCTTTGTATATATCAACGATATAGACAAAAACATCCAAAAAACAAATCTCATTTAATAAATGAATCTCATCATTGGCATCATTCATCAAGTTCGGAATCATCATCAACAGATAATCTACCAAAGAAAATTCTTCTATCATCAGTAATGACAAATCAAGATAAAATTACTAATCATGATAATGAATATGTCGAAAAACGACGTATTGTACTTAATGAATATGACTCACAATCACCAAATAAACGAGTACAAAATGCTGCTATGATTTTACCACCACCACCACCGCCACCACCACCATTACCACTATCATTAATCAATAATATTTCAGCACCACCTTATGAACAACATATGTCAAGAAAATTATCATCTATATCAGAGAAAAGTGAAAGAACTGAAACCGATGATAGTGAACCTGATATTTTACGTATTAAACAATATAATCCAAAACGAAAAGCAATTATAACTGCAGTCAATCAAAAACAAAAACAACAACAACCACCACCACCACCATTGCCAAAGAAATTACCAATGATTAAAAATCGAAGAAAAATCGGACGAGATGATGATAATGATAATGATTCAGGTATTTTTTGAAATAAGATATTCAAATAAAATCGAATATATCGTTTGAAAAAAAGTATTACATAATAATAAAAACTAGTAGAAAGATAAAAATCAATAGGAACACTTTTTTTTGCTAATTTTTCAATTAGAAATGAATATGGTTTTAACTCATGTTTCTGATTATGAATTCAATTAGTTAGAGCTAGTGTAATTGACATTTTGTTTTTTTCTATCGTATTAACACTAGATACGAAGTATCTGTTTTCACATGTACTCTAATCCCAAAGAAACAGTATATTTCTTATAAGTATATAAAAACTCAACGTTTTCCATTAACCTATTAAGTATCAAGAAGAATGTTTTATTATTTAATATAGGAAATTATATTAAAAATCTTTCTCTCAACGAAAATCAAATACAAAATTCTTGTAAATTACTTAAATTCATATAATCTAAACTATATAATTCAACGTACTTGACAAATACCTTAATAATATCTAAAACCTTGAATATATATGTATATAATCGTTCTGTTTATATGACATTCTTAATTATATATGTCAACATTTTACTTATAAAACTAATTATATAATTAGATCATTCAATATTCAGCATCTTTTTTATGTAATATGCAATGACAAATAGATATTTTTTTCTCGATGATAATATATCTGACTAAATGAAATCTGTCAATAAAAGATTTACTAATGGACCTTGAAATAATTAATATATTTCTGTTTATTTTTTTTTTAACTAGGTGTAGAACGGTCATCATCAGAAAAATCATTTGAAGATCAAAACACAAACAAACGATATTCCGATATTTTACCATCAATTAATACAAATACAAATGTAAAAATAACAAAAAATAAGTCAAATGATAAACCACGACCAACATTAAGTTTTTCTAATGTTTTTGTAACATCTATTTCACAATGTGATATAAGAGGACAATCACAAAATGATGAAATTAAAAAACCTTTAACAACATCTCCATCAACATCTTCATCATTATCTGATCAATTATTATTAACAGATGTAACAATACCAAAACCAATATTAAAAAAATCTAATCAACAATCATCACCACCAAGTGATCAAGATCGTATTCCCCCAAGTTATCATGATCAAAAAAAACTTTCATCTATTATTAATTCAAAATCTTATGTTAAATTAGCAGAACCATATTTTAATTCTAATTCAAAAAAAATTCCTATAACTTATAAAACAAAAAATCCTTTATTACATAATATACCAAAACCAGCTCCACGTCCAAGTTTAAAACAATCATCAACTGCTAAAAAAGATGAAAGTCTTGTTTAAATGTGTTTATTTGTTTTGTTTTTATTTAGAAATAAATAAAATAGATAGTATAAAATTTATGTTTTATTCAATTGTTTTAATTTTAATTTTTATATAATTAAACATTCTTTTTCTTCTTTTAAATGAGCTGGACTTCTTACCATGGTAATCAAGAATGACTCCTATATATATATATTCATTTTTCTCCAACATATATTACAAAGAACATTATTGGCATTCATAGAACATGATTTCCTGGATGAAAAAAATCTTATAAAGATCGTATAAGATTATAATTTTAGATCTCATTTATACTATTAGTTTTGATAATGATAGGCTTGTGCAATCAAATAAATATTTCAACGATTAAATACGTTCTAATTCGATGCTACTTTTTTTTTAGAATTGAAAACACATCTATGTAGTGGTGCTGATCTGCTAGATAATCACTCCACAGATAATTTTGATTAATTTAAAGTAGATTTGCTTTTGTTTAAATTGTTTATTTTGTTATTTTAGATCGTTTTAACGATCGAATTCAAAAATAATTTTATTAAATATTTTTTAAGCGCATATTTTTGTTTTTATTTAGT